GGGGGGGGGGGGGGGGGGGGGGGGGGCAGACATACAGAGGTCTGCAAATAAATAGGAAATGTATATATTAATCCGCAGACATAAAATATGGTATCTGTCATGAAACAAAGCAGGAAAGGGGGGCTGGAACTCCCAGGTGGGGAGCAGGCTGCACCTTCAAATAGGGTGATCGGGGAAAGTCGCATTCAAGCAGAGGCCCGAAGGAGGTAAGTAATGGATCGAGCAAGAAAACATCTGAAGAGTGGTCCCGACAGAGGGCACAGCAGGTGCAAAGGCTTGGAGACGGGCGCCTGGAGCGCTGGGGGAACAGCAAGAGGACGGTTAGGCCAGAAAGAGCTACAGGACACAGCAAAGGAAAAGTGGCAAGTGAGGTGGGGGGAAACACCAGGGAGGCGGGGTGTCCCGTCAGGCAAAGTACATCTAGGGATCGCGTGGTCAACGGTGGCAAATGTCCCCCACAGGTCAGGGAGGGCAACAGGCTGTTAGCAGCATGGAGGCCCCCAGCTGTCTTGACAGGAGTGGGGGCAAGGGGCTGGGGAGTAGAGGACAGGATGGAAGCAGCAGGGGGTGTGGCACAGAGGGGGGGCAGAGGAAGCGGGTGACAGGAATGTGTGTGTCCAGGCGGGGAACGAGCGGGGGGTAGATGCTGGTGGGGACGAGGGAGGCACGTAAGAAAAGCTGGGCCGCAGTCCTTGAGAGGGTGGCCCGATGGGAATGAGCCCAGTGGAGGAGGGTCCTGACTGGAAGGCTGACAGCCTGTCACAGTTGCGGGAGAGGACAGAGAACTGGGCACAGACGCAGGCAGGCGGCAAGTGGGGCGGCGAGGACAGTCACAGCGTTTTGCTTCACTTTTCAACAAAATAACGTCTTTTCAATATAAAAACGATTCTAAACATACGGTGGGCGAGTTGGCCTGTGGGCCACAGCTGGCCAACTTCTGGGCGATTGAATGAGTGGACACCTGACTGCCCTGAATCCCAGGTGAGAGGGGGCGAGCGCCTGGCGCTTCCTTCTGCCGCATGCGGCTGCTGGGGAGCAGGTGCAGAACCGGCAGGTTAAACCGGGAGTACGCTTTTGCCGGGTGCATACAATGAGCAAGGGGCGAGGGAGTTGAGAATGTGTGCAAAGGGAGTGATGACGGGCCCAGAACCTAGGCTGGGCCACGAGAGAGAGGTGGCCGAGCTGGGCAAACAGGCAGCAGGCCCAGGGCCTCGCAGGAGCCAGAGGGTAGGAGAGCTGCTGGAGTCAGGGCACTAGGACAGCGATCCTCGAGGACAGGAGGACAGGGAGGGTGTGCTGAGATCGAGGTGGTGGAAGAGGTACATTACCGTCGCCAACAGTCAGGGGAATGACCACGGGGTGGGTGGCAGAGAGGAAGTGGGGGGGGCAGAGAGGAAGTGGGGGGAGCAAAGGAACAGAGAGAACAGGGTGTTCACAGGAAGAGACGGGAGGGGGGAGATTGGCACAGAATAGCCCCTGCCGGGCCAGGGGCAGAGGGATGTGGGCAAGGGGAGGCCGTAGGGGATGCAGTGCCCCCAGGGACCCAGGTCTCATCTCAGCAAGGATGGCAGGGCAGGGATGCTCAGGAAGAGCCTGAGGGTTGAGGGTCTTGCTGAGGACCGAGTTCCACAAAGCACGGCAGAGTCAGAGCTGGAGAGAAGTTGGAAAGGAGGTCTGACAGGGGCTGCACCCAGCCCAGAGGGGGCGAGTGTGAGCTGCTCAGGGCTTCTTGAACAGGGGCAGGAGGGGCTTAAGGCCATACAGGATGCCTGATGACATGCTCAAAGCAGAGATAGAGGGCAGGGCTCAGTGGGGTCTTGCCAGCCGCCACCCTATTTCCAGGTCCCCTTTCACTCTTATTAAATGACAGTGTGGGAACCAGAGAGGCCCACGTATATGTGTTGTAAATGTAATAAAACAGACACGCTGTTTACCTCCCACCCAGGCTAAGCAACTGCAAGCCCTGTGTCATAACCCTCTTCCTGTCATTTTGTACTCTGGCTTCTGGACTGTCCTCAGCACCTGACCAGGGGAATGTGCTGACCGCCGACGACGTGGCCGGTTCTGTACACCATCTGCCCTTGGAAAAGTGAAAATCTAATCGCAATGGAACAGCAAACACAGAAGACACGTTTCATTCCCCACAAATTACACACAGCGAGACTCTTCAGTTAACACAGGTGTTCGGAAGAAAGGGACACCCAGGCAGCGGGGACAGACAAGGAGGAGGTGGGCCTCCCTGGTCAAGGGACACGCTGTCATTTACCCCCGCCACCTGGCCAGGGCCTCACTTCAGTCGTGTGGCTTGTGTCACACATCTACGTGTCCTTTCCTTAACTTTCAAAGGTGCTGACTGGCTCCAGGAAAATGTGAGACAGTGAGCAATATCCAGTATCCAGGTTCACCTTAAATCAATCTGTGGTTCTAATCACAGCAAAATGTGTGGTTGACATGTGGCTAATGGGTGAATGTTCTGTGAAGACTAATGAATTTCAATGAGATGTGGTTCTTGGATGGAGAGGCTGACTCTTCGCAAAGCTATGCCTGAATTAAATGTTGTCTTTAACAGGCGCCTACCTTCCCCATCAATGTCCTTCCTTCTCTTTCCCTAACTCAGTGCCAATGGCTCTGTCCCTTTCCTAAAACACTGGGTCTGCCGCCTGTTTCCACGCTGGGGGACGCATTCCCGAGTATTAGCTGAACAGGGGACTGGTCATAACTCAACTATAAAACAAAGCTTACAAGCCACGCCCTCTCCGGCCCTTTACTTCTCTGCTCCCACCGGATTGCCCGGTGACTCCCTGGCCCCCACCCAGCTCCTCACCTGGACTCGGGTCCACAGGGACATCTGGAACCTTGGGGGCCGCGCGGCGCCAGCCACAGGGCTCCTTGCCTTGCTCGGTCTGGGTGAGGACCTCGGGCTTGGAGATGGCGTAGTCTGAGGAAAGACGTAGAGGTGAGCTTTTGTCACGTGGTTCCATTCAGAGGCAGCCTGGGAAGCCAGGAATAGCCAAGAAACGAAATTTCTTGACTGACACAGAGCAGTGCTCTCAGCCACAGGCAATTCTGTCCCCAGGGAGACGTTCCTGGTTGTCACGACTGCGGGCGGGAGGAGAGGTGCACCCGGCGGGCGGAGGTCAGGATGTGCTGCCCCACCACACGGATCCTCCGGCCCAAAATGCCCCAGTGCCGAGGTGAGGGAACTCTGGGATGGCCTCCACATCAAGCAGCGGCACGTTTCTGCAAACTGAACTATAACATCACCCTGCTCCGGCTCCATCCTCACTAAGGATGCCTCACTGCCTCCGTATCTGGGGTCACACAGAAACATCCCCAAAGGAAACAAGCCCGGAAAGAAAGAAGCCAGCCTTCTGGGGATACCACGTGAGGAGAGCGGCAGCAGCCCCAGGGTCTAGGGGAGCAAAGTCTCGGGTGTGGAGGCAGCGCTGGCTGCAAGAAGCATGGTCTGGCCAGGCCGGTGTGGCTCAGCGGTTGAGCATCAACCTATGGACCAAGAGGTCATAGGTTCGACCCCGGTCAGGGCACATGCCCGGGTTGCAGTCTTGATCCCCAGGAGGGGGTGTGCCGGAGGGAGCCGACAGACGTTTCTCATTGATGTTTCTCTCTCTCTCTCCCTCTCCCTCTTTCTCTAAAACCAATAAAAACATATTTTAAAAAAAAGAAACATGATCTGCCCACATTGTCCACTGACCCAGAAGAGTGTCACAGTCAAGGCCACGTAACTTAGTAAGAGAAAGCTAAAAAAGAAAGTCTTTCTCAAATGCGTCCTGGATCTCGGTGGTAGGCGCCTTCTCCATTCCAAGTCTAGCAGGATAGAAACAGCCATGCTCCACCTCCGGTGGGGAGAAGGGCCACCCCACCTGGCTCTGGCATCCCATGAACTTCACCAGGTGGAAGGGAGCTTTCAACTCAGTCACCTGGTGCTCACCTTTAGGAAGAGGAGACACCTCTTTGCATGGTCCAAGTGTCCAGTGATTTATGTATCCTTGTGATAAAACCCACTGGCGTGAAGAGAGAGGTCTGAGGACTCCCCACATAACACAGAACAGAGAAATGAGTGTCAGGCCTTACCCAGGGAAACCAGCGTCTCGTAGTTGCCCCTCATCACGTGCTTGTACAGCTCCTTCTGCCACTCGTCCAGCTTACTCCACTCCTGCTTCGAGAAACAGACAGCCACGTCATCAAAGGTTGTGGGCACCTGGAACCACAGGTGTCATGCACGCTCACCCACATTTACAGGCACGGCCCCTCGGGTGGTCCCACCCCAGGTGCCCAACTTACCTTGGGGGCCTCCCCCTTGCTGCCCGGGGGCAGCCGCAGGACCCAGAAGTTCCTGTTGCGCAGCAGGTTCTCCATGTTCTCCAGCCGTCTCTGCAGCAGCCCGTATTCCTGCAGCAGCGTCCCCAGCACGGCCCACTTGCCCTCCAGCTGGTTCCCGAACTCCAGGGTCGTCTTCTCGCAGTCGGCCAGCTTCTTCTCGGCCATCCCTGTCCTACCTTCTAGGGAGAGCAAGCGGGCAGCCTGTGACTCGATCTTCCTCTCCATTGCCTGAATTGTAGCTGCCATTGTCCAGGGAGAAATCTTCCAGAAACAGAGAGAGAAGACCAGCATCAATCATTCCACCAGTCGTGTTCCATGAGCCCAGGTGCCCTAGGTGTGCGGAAGCTGGGTTGGGGGTGGGAGCCCATACGTGAAAAGCAGGGATGCCCTGTGCCACGTGCCAGGTCTCAGCCTGGCGATCACCTCCTCTGGGCGTCTTAGACATCACCTATGTCTGGGTGGCAGCCGCCCCTCCTGGCCTCTGCAGCATGCCGGGCAGAGCCCTACGGTGGCGCTCACTGCCCTGCAGTGATCTCCTGCATCCTCCTGTATGGCCTCTGCAGGCTGCACTGCCCCTCTGCACAGCACCGCGCATGGCCTGCGGCAGCCGCCCAGTGCAATTCTGCTAAATAGACGGTGCCTGAGCACTGCTGGGCATTTTAGTGGAGAAATGGTAAACTGCAGGTTAACTATAGCTCAGCCAGCACTCCCCATCATAATCACACAGGAACCGTCTACTGATGATGACCCAGCAAAAAAAACAGCTGGCTCACGAAAACGGCGCAAACAAGAGCACTGCTCAACTGCTTTTTATAAAAGCAGCTCGTGTCTTTCCAATAAACATAAAAATCTAATGGTTAATTCCTCTCCCCACAGGACAATAGGGTTTGGTCCCCTCCCCAGTAGCCACCCGAATTAAAAACCATAATTGCAAATCTNCTTTCCAATAAACATAAAAATCTAATGGCTAATTCCTCTCCCCACAGGACAATAGGGTTTGGTCCCCTCCCCAGTAGCCACCCGAATTAAAAACCATAATTGCAAATCTCCACCAGCCAAGAGTTAGACTTCTTGCTACAACACGAGTCCCCTAGGTGCCCGGAGAGTCTGTTTTTTTCTCTCACTGTTCCTACTTTTCTCCTCCCAAGTGAAGAATTATGGTCTCAGACATTATTGTAGCTGCCCCAGGGCCAGCGACACACCTTACATACGGGAGGGGAAGNCGCCCCAGGGTCAGCGACACACCTTACATACGGGAGGGGAAGGTAAGACATACGTCATTAGGTTAGACTTCAGCACGTGCAGCAACCAGCCCACAGACATGGAGCTTCCCCATGCAGTGACTTTCCTGTCTAGGGAAAGTTCACACAGCAGCTTGAATGACCAGCGGTTGGGGACACTGAGGAAAGGGCACGTTGTGTTCTGGATGGGGGCTGCACCACCTGACTCACCCACACCCACGTGTCAGAGAGGTGGTCCCACTATTCCTGCCTGGGGATTATATGCAAAATAAAGAAGTGACTACTGGGAACCCATGTGGATTCACTTAGAGAAAGTCAAGGATGGAGTAGCAGAGAATCTGGCCGTTTGCAGGGAGGCTGGACCAGATGACCTCTGACCTGAAGAAGGAAGGGCTTTGGCTGTGTCTCAAAAGACTGGGGGGGAGCTGGACAGGCAGAGCTCCAACAACTGGATGTGTGTGGGACTCCTGCCCTCCAGAGGCTGCAGGGACTGCACCGGGCTGGCACCTCCTCCCCTTCCCCTGAGTCTCTGCCATACGAGCCAGGCCTCCAATATTTTGCTCCAGAAGCTCCCCATCCGCTGAAGTCCTACTCCCTCTGCCTCCAAGTGCACCTGACTGCCATCATAACAATCTCTGTGTTGCAGGAAAGGGCCTCTGAGCCAACTCCTACTTTATAAACAATAAGGCCCCCCAGTTTTCTTACCACTTTAATGGAGCCCCTGGGTAAGGCCTTCACACTATCTGCTGGGAGGTAGCGACTATTTTTGCTCAATCCCTGATCCTTACTAAATGGTGGCTGGACAATATGGGACTGTCTATCCCGAGACTCCTGCCAGGGAAGCGGACACCTCCGTGCTTGAGGGGAGCGGATGGTAAGAGAACCCCAGATCCTTCAACAGCTCCTCACCCATGCGGTGGAAGCCCATGGCACTGGAACCCCTTCCAACTCTCCCGCAGCCTCCCCACGGAAGAAAGCCATCTTTTTCAGGCGCAAGGACACCTTTCCGTTCCCAGAACAGGCTGGCACTGCCGTCTCCGCCGGTGCCAGGAGCCGTCCTCCCCACCTGAAACCCTAGCCTTCCCCAGGAGCCCAGCTCCAATCACTGAGGCACAGGCCCGGAGGGGCGCGCGGCAAGGCCGGCCCTGCCCTCTCCCTCCGCCGCCTCCCAAGGATGCTGCACCCCAGGGCAGGAAGCACTCACCTCCGTCTGTCTGCACTGTTACTGCCCCGGTCCNGCACACTTCCCAGCGGTGCGATCCTGGGCAAGTTAACTTCTCTAGGCCTCGGGTTTTCCTTTTGTACCTTCCCTCCGGGCTTGATGCGAGGACATCCTCGCGCCCACCCCGGCGGGTGCGGTGCCTGT